AGGGGCACGGGGCTGAGCTGGGCAGGTCGGAGCCCGACAGTGCGGGGACATCCCTCCCTGCTTCTCCACACCCGCTGCCCCTCCGTGCCCTGGCCTGGATCCACGCCCTGGCCTCACAGGCAGCCCCAGACAGCTTCTCCCTCAGGTGGGGGCAGCCCCTGCCCCCACATGACTGCTGAGAAATGACACGAGGGCCTTGACTCATCTGCCCCCTGGGGCCTCTCCTGCGATGGCTGGGGTAGGGGTGATCCCGCCTCGGGCAAGGGGCTGGACTAGCTCCGTGTGCCTCGACCAGTGTCGCAAGAACACATGAAAGGGTCGCCAACGCACTTTAAAAACGGATCCTCCTTCAAAGGAGAAAAACCATGGGAAGCTGCGACTTTTCCCTTGCGGGCTGCCAGAGTTTCAGCCTCACACGCTGGGTCGGGAGTGAGAGGCCCGGGGTCGGGACTGTTTACAAACGGGTCCTGGTACAACAAAAGTTGAGAGCTACTGGAGGAGATGACCTCTGGAAGTCCCTGTCAGCCCTGCTCCTCTCTATGACTTGTCTGTGGAGCCTGATTGACACCCGAGCTGGGCTGAGCTGAAGTGGGCAAAGTGGGGAGGGCTAGGGGGAGGTGAGATTATCTGCTTGGGGGGGGGATGGGGACACCTGCCATATTTTGGAACTGTTTGCTCTTTGCAGCCTCTTCTGCATGTGGCCACGCTCCTGCAGCAGCCCGGCAGAGGCTGAGGAGACAGCTGCAATGGGACCAGGATAGACTGGGCATTCACCTCCCCTTCTGCCACCCTCCAGGTTGATGGCCTGTAAAGGCAGGTGTTTAACACACAGTGCAAACAACATGCCTGTCCTGGCCTCATCCCTGTGTGCTGGGAACACCTGTTAGGAGGGGGAGGGGATGGCAGAGCCTGCACCTGCAGAAGGAGGGCTGCCAGTTCTGAGTTTCTGGCAGGGAAAGGTCTGCAGCACCAGGGCAGCGGGTGACAAAGTGTAGGAAGTGCCTGCCTTCAATGTGCATGCCTTCAACTGCACCAGTGAGGCAGGGGGCAAAAAGGGTAAAGGGCAAAGCAGCACGGACCAAGGGAGTGGAGAAGGCTTAGGGAGGGGAAGGTATGCAGGGAGGGACTAGGCTTGAAACACTTCCTTTCTCATTTGACCTTCAAGAATGTATGCACCATTTTCTTTCTCCTTCCCCTCAGGGCTGCAGGAAAGCACATGGTCAAACAAAGTACAAGCAGACCACAGCTCCCGACTCTCATTAGATTTTTTTCCCCCTGAGCCATATTTCAGCTTTCTCTGCCCTTGCAAGCTGTGGCTGGATCAGTACTGTGCCAAGAGCCACCACAATGGGACAGGCAAGCAGCAAGTCCATCAAACCTAAGTCCCCCCCCTCCAGAAACCCCGTGCCTTCATGCTCAGCAAATTAGCTCACCCCTCACCTACTGTATCTTAGTGCACCCCTACCACCTATTTCTGCCTGTATTCCCTCAGTATCTGGCCCAGGGCTCAGTATTCCCAGGCTTCTGACCCAAGCACACTCTGCTTCCATTCCACCCCCTGAGTATTCCCTTTCTCAGTACAGAGTACTCACAACAATACTTCCCACATTTCAAAATGCTTTTCACAAAAAGGCAGTATCAACATTCCCATTTTACAGGTAGGTAGACTGAAGCACAAGGAAGTGAAATGAATTGCTCAATGTCCCCCAGCAGATTAGTGTCAGAGCAAAGAAAAGAAACCAGGACTGCATAGTTTCAAACCAGCAGCTAGTGTCCTGTGGATTATATTGTGCTACCTCCCTTAACTGGTGTAATCAACATCACCCTGTACTAAGGCCATGAAAAGGGGAAAAAAGTATATGCAAATATTCAAGGGTCATTAAAAATCTGTGTACTCTATTATTATGCCATAAATACTAGTAAGCCTTAGTCATATGGTGTTACTACAGAAAGAGTTATAGTTCTCTGTCCATATTGTACGCCTCCTTCTATACGCTATCATGTTCAGATTTCCCTTGAGTAATCTGAAGTCCGAGTTTTCTGATTTGGGGATGATTGCAATGCCCTGTACATGTTTTACCTTTAACTTACTGATACCTTCTCTGAGTTTTACCTCCATTTTAAAGGTATTTTTTGGCTGGGAAGAAAAATGGATGCATCTGTAACTGCCCTAATTGAGCATCTTTTTTGTGAGTACGTGCAGTTCACATGGCACCCAATCCAAGGCCATCTGCCCTCAGCGCAGTCTCCCTGGGCCTGTATCCTGACCAGTAGGCCAGCCATCACAGGTGATTCCGCTCATCAGGCCACTAAACTTGCAATCTCTGGATCAGCCACTCTTAGCAGGGCACTGATACCATCATATCACTTCTCCCTAGACTGGTTTTCCTGGGTTGGGTACCCATTCTTCTCTATGCCACCAATTAACAGAACCCAGCATCTTCCCCTGGAACAACTAGTCTGAGGACCTACAATTTAAGACACCATTCACCTTCCCCTCATACCTATGTCAGGCTAGAATGACACTGGCATCATTCTACCCTAATATGCATTCCTGGCTCACAAGTCTGTGAAAAACCTCCTTGACCTGCATAAAAGATATCACATCTACCAAAGAACCTTGTCTGTCCTTGACCTGAACCACCCAGCCAGAAATTTCAAAGCACTGTGACTCAATCAGTAGGGAGACAGGCCCATAATGAACTTCAGCTACAACATGTAAATGGGGTGGAGTTACAGTCACATCAGTAAATGTAAGAGTGGTGGGAGAGGCAGAGGTGCCTACTTGTTCTCCCATGCTTTCAGGACCATGGCATTGACAGATCCTGGGCAGTTCCTTACATCTGCCAGACACCCAGGTCTGTGAAAGTCACCTGTGGGAAAGTAGCTCTGGAGGGCATTTTGGGGAGGGGAGGGAAGGGGACAAAGCTTGCATTTCATCAGCTGGAAGCACAGCACCACAAGCCCCTAAACAGCTGCCATCACCAGAGCATGAGGCTGAGGCACCCTCACAAGTAGATGCTGTGCCTGGCAGAGCTAATACAAGCAAGGGCCAGATGAGCAGCTGACCGACAGCTCTGTTAGTTTCCATGGGAAGAGACCACGTGAATTAATTTAGGGTCTGTGTAGAAGCCAGCAGCTAACCCACACCGACATGCTGTCCAGAGTGTATCAGGTTAATGCTGCTCAGATGGGCTTTTACCACTGGACAGCTAGGTTCAAAGCCAGGGTTGCTCTCATAGCAGTAAAACGGGTGAGGTAAATTTTGGGGAAATCATCAAGGGCATTTCTGATTGTTTCTGTCTTTATTAAATAGCAAATGGTTACCCACAATTATGCAACCTGCCTTCCAGCATGTTCCTACGCTTGCAAAAACTGCTGGTTCTTAGGGAAGGTAGCTAGCTGTAGGAGGGGTTGATTTCATCCCTCTCTGCTCAAGAAGTTCCAGGAAATTCCAGGAAGTCCCAGGAAACTTTTGTGAACTGGTGTGTATGAACATCTAAGTGCCATATCTAAAGAAAAGCCACATTACATTGACAATGACCAGAGAGGTAGAAACCATGACTGCCTACAAGCTTTGAGCCAGTGAGGGAGAAATCCACCCACAATCCATTTTTTAAAGGCGCACACAACTTCCATAAATCCTTCTGAAATTCCAAGGCCCCAAACCTACACACTCGTAAGCACATGCTTGACTTTATAACTTATGAATCACTGGGTTGGAACTGATGGAACTTGTGTAATATTAAGCACACACTGAAGTGTTTGCGGTATTAGAGTCTGAGTAAATTACAAATTTACCATTTGGCTGACTGCTAGGGTGGCCACTGATGCATCCCCAGAATATAGGGCATCCCTTTGGTGAGGGGCAGACTCTGTCAGCCAATTAGCAGTCAGGGGTGGGGTTGCCACCTCCCCAGCCAAACAGCAGTCAGGGGTGGGCCACCAGGCCCTGTCATCAATCAGCAGTAAGGGGCAGGGCCACCACAAAAAGGCTACCTTCCTTGCTGGCTGGGAACCCTGCTCCTCCTGGCTGTGCTCCCCCTGACTGCTAGGCACAGCCAATAGAATCACACAGGCAAGTGACTGACATGTATTTCCACCAATGAACTGAAAAACAGGACTTTTTGCAGTCTGGTTTTCATTGAGAAATGGCTAGGGGACAAAGGGTTTAAAAACAGGAAGATCCGGTATAAAACAAGACCAATGGCCACCCTATTGACTGCTCAGGTTAGTCAGACCATCTCTCAGTCAGTCAGACCATCTCTGGAGTGCATAATGACAACATCTGATTTTCAAGAGAGAGAACTGCCGAAAACACTTGAAGATGCCAAGGACAAAACATGCACAGATACCCACGTCAACAAAACAGGATGCAGAAGGAACAAGTTTTGAAAGTCTCAACCCCAGGACTGAGGAAGGAAGGATTTGAGTCATGAAGCTTTTTATTTTTTTCCTGGATTTCCTGTCAGTTCCTTTGGGAACTATGTCGTTTCTGAAAGGATGGGCAGGGTGGAAAACCCCTTCACCAAAGGAGGGATCACATTTTGGTTATAGGGGTGGAAATGATATAGGCTGTTCTAAAAGGTCAACTGGAAGTAGAAGGGAAGCAATCATTCTGCCCTGTCAGAGATCTTCTAGGGGTGGTGGTGAGGTGGAAACAGAAACAGTTTGTTTCTGGGTGAAAGACAAGAAATACGTACAACAAATCAGGCAAAGCAGATGCTGGAAACAGCATTGAAGGAGGACTGTAAGCTATACCCTAAAGTCAAAGGGAAGGTGGAAGGGTGTTAAGGGTGGAACCTTTCATGCTGCTTAGAGCAGGTGCTTTTTATATGACAAAAGCAGCTTATGAAATGTCCTCAAGTTGTTGCAATTCAAGGCTTTGCTGCTGCTGCACACCAGCAGAGCTGGGCTGCACCTGTTGGTGTGCCCAAGCACTGGAAGAGGAAGATGGTCAGTAGCCTGCAACCCAGCCTATACCATACACACACACCCAAAACAGGTAGGGGAGAAACCAGTGGGGCAGTCAGGGCCACTGCTGTATATCATGCTCCACCTCCCAGGCAAAAAACTGAGGAGACACCAGGGGCTGGATTCTCACTGGGCACAGCCTACACATGCAAATGCTCTGGGGTAGGTTTACTCTAGAATAATTTACTCTAGAGTAAACTCACCCCAGGTAAGTGTCTACATGTGCGGGGAAGTGGGAGAAGATTTGCTGTTCATGGCAGCAGTCTGTTTCTGCCAGCCCTGCACTGGCCCCCTGCAGCAGCCAGAGGGAGTTCTAGGCTCCCCCTGGGTGCTAGCCCAGGGGTTGAAAGGTAGCACAGGGCCAGGAGGCAGGGAGCTGGGAAGGAGCATGAGGCCAGGAAATTACTGCACAGTAAGTGTCACCATCTACATGTGCTGTACTGTGCAGTAATTATTCCCAAGAAAATTTATGACTTGTATTTACAGGTAGCAAATTTATGCACGATTAGAGCAAATTACTGCACAGTAAGCATCTTCACGTATAGACAGTAACACTTACTGGGTGCATCTATGCAAGATGCTATGGCACAGTAGCAACAACCTACCGTCCTGTAGTTCATTGTAGCATTGCCAGGCATGAACCGTGATGGCAACACTACTGCATAGTAGTAAGGAGCTACTGCGCAGTAGCATCTAAAAATAACTGTGCGGCAATGGGACTGTGCAGTAATGGTGGTTACTGTGCAGTCTTTTAGTACTTGGTTAAGCAAGTACTAAAGGACTGTGCAGTAACTACTGTGCAGTCAGCCACTTGTGTAGATGCAGCCAATGTGCAGTAATTTGCTCTAATCTCAAGTAAAGCATCATGTGTCAAGGCACTGGCTAAACCCCACCACTGGTTAAACCCCACCACTGACACCAAGGCATTTTGCACCATTCTGCCAATGTAAAGGGGCCTCCGTGTGGACAGAAATGCCCCTGAGAATGCCCACTACACTTGTGTTCATCTGGCCCATGAGGGCTTTCAAATCCTCTGTATTGGGGCTGCTAAGGATTCATGAAACAAAGGAAACATTTTATCAGTGAAGAGGTTGCTCTCTCTCATATCAGGACCCAGGATCCCAGAAAACAACATGTACAAATGAGGCTTAACATCCCCACTTTGCTCCCCACACATCCCAAGTGCAAGAGTGAATATCTGAAATCATGTCTCCCTCCCTGGGTCCACTGCCAACAGAATAAGCTCTACCCACACATTCTCAGTCAGGATGCCAGAAACCAGATGGTTTCTCACCACACTCTTGTCCAGTACTGCTCTCAAGCTCTCTCATAATGAATAGCCAGAGCATGACCCTGGCACAAGCATGTAGGTAGACTCTGAGCTTCATGGGCTAGGGACAGACATTATACATAAATCAGTTTAAGCGATCAGAAACTGGTTTAAACCTGTAACAGGACAGATGTTCAGTGCACATAAACCAGTTTGAAAATGGCTGGAACTTGTTTGAGATAAACCTGGTTGAATGTAGTATCAGATTTAACCGATTTGGGTCAAACCAGTTTATGCAATATTTGTCCCAGTTCCCTTGTTGGTTTAAGATAAGCCAGACACCCCCAGCATTCCTACATGCTCTCTGGGCTGGGCAGGGCTCTCTGCTCCACAGCAGGGCTGGCCCCTCCCCTCTGCTCCCTGGCTGCAACTCCAGCAGAGACTTGCAGGCACAGAGCATCTGCCTAGCTTCTCCCTGCTAAGCAGGAATTATTCCCCCCCTCCCCTCTACCTTAGGCAGACACCTCAGCATTAGCTAGAAGACCACATGCTAGCTACAGTCTGTGCTGTGAGAGACAACAAAGGCAGGCAGGATTTTTGGAGCTAATCAACAGGTAGCTTAATGTCCTTCTTTGGAAAAGCTGTTTAAGAAGATCTGGTTAAGAAGAACTCTATTTGTCACAGGGAGAAACAGAAGGGGGGTCCCCAAAATACCAGGGGGGAACCTTCAGAGGGAAAGGAAAGAGAAAGAAAAGATGAAAGGAAATATTTACTTGCAGTGGGACCAGCGGTGTAGCCGGAATCGAGGGAGGAACCCGCGCGGCTCGTCAGCCATGCCTTTATACAGTTGCGGCCGGCCGGTGACATCAGCCACG